CCCATTCTTTAAATTGGCTGCTTACCCCCTGAACTTGGCGACCTTGGCTTAATATACTGCCAACATTTCTTTTAATTTTTTTAAAAAAATAATGGTCTTGAATTTTAAGGATTTTGTCGGCTGGACAACTGGCTTTTGTTGAAAAAAATAACCCTGGATAATTAAGGTTGTTTTCTAAAAAATTGGGTGGCGGATTGTTTAACTTCTTATTAATAACAATTAAGTTAAAATAATTCTATTATAATAGCAAAAATAGAAATTGCTATGTCAAAAAATGCTCAATGGTGAATAAATAAAAAGGGGTTAATATACTACTATTTTTCACCAATTTAAAAAAAACTACTTATTCTTTTTTGGTTTTGGTGTTTTTAGCAAAGCCCCTAATACTTTATCAACCTTGGTTTCATTTTTGTTGTCATCCATTGCTTCTATGTCAATATAAGGTAACTCTTTTTCAAGTTGAAGTCTTTCCTTTACTAATCTCCGAAACTTATTTCGGTCTTTTCCAGAAACCCAAGCCAGCGTTCTTACTGTGTTAATTATCTCCTCCAAGGCTTTTTTTCCTAAGGGAGTTAAAGATTGGTGAAACCTTTTTTTGTAATGACCTCCTTTGGTTTTTGGGGTTCTTTCTTTTATCTCCTTTAATACAAATGAACCTTTTGGTAAGTTCTTATAAATTAACTCATTAGTTAGAAAGCCAATAAACCTTGGTTTTCTCTTTATGTTTTCAGCAGTAAAATCTACATCATAAACTCCAAATACATCTTTGTAATAGCCCAATGAAAACATTTCTTTTCATTTTGAAAATAACCTGTCTTTTAAGACAAGCAAGTTTAATATTTTGTTTAATTCAAATCTTTCTCTTTCGTATTGATAACCAGTGGCTTCGTCAATTAAAGCAATAATACTTACTTTGGCTAATGCCCTCACTAATGTTTCGCATTGTTCGGCAATTATTTCTTGTCGTAATGATGATAGCTTTATGCTTTTCCTTGCCTCTAACATACCATCGCAAAAATCAACTAATAAAGTTGCTTCGTAGCCATGGATTTTTTGTTCTCCGTCATAACAGATAATAGGGTCAAAGTGGTCCACCTTTTTTCCTTTGTAAATAAAGGGTTGGAGAGATTTTTGTTCTAAATATCGCTTAAATCTGGTCCCAGGCGGTCTATGTCCGCTATCTCCTACTTCATCCACCATTTTTAGAACATCCTGCATCCCTCGGCCTGATAAAACCCGCCTACCATCCTCCAAGACATAACAAGGTTGTTTAGATCCAATTAAATCTAATTCGCCTTTATACTTTATTATTCCTTCTTTTTTTCTATTCATATTTTTAATTGATTAATTGTTGATAAGTCATTCGTTTGCCTACTATTGAGGAAAGAACCAAATTAAATCTATCCTCTCCGTTATACTTCCTTGCGTTAAATCTCAAAGCAAACTCATCCATATACTTCTGGGCGTGTTTTCTGCTTATATTACTTTATGCAAAATTATTTTCCGCTTTTATAATTTGGTTTTACATTTAATTTATCTCGACAATGTAGGAAATTTTTAGTTAAATCTTCTTTTCGCAAATCTTCCATGGCTTGATTAATAATATCTTCTACCTCTTCATCAGTTCAAGATTGCTTTCTTCCAATAAATTCTTTAAGTTTACTCTTGATAAAGCCTTTAATATTGTTGATAAAAAGTTCAGCTGGTTGTATCATCGGAGCACGAGCAGGTAAATACTTGAGTATGATCCCCTTTTTGACTGCTAGTTCTTTAATTGGAAGTCTTTTTTCCTTTATAAGAGACTTGCTGGCATGATGGATTTTGGCATTATCAAGTAAAATGTAACTGTTATTAGGAAAATTGATTCCCAATAAGAAATCATGTAAATCTACTGCATTGGTTCCTTTCTTCTCTTTTTCCTCATTCTTTTTCTTGTTCTTTTTTCTAATGTTCTTAATTATTTTACAGCTAACCTTAATTTCTCCTTGCTCTGCTAGGTTTTGAACACAAAGAATAACAGTAAAACGAGTTCCTTTCTCTCCTACTTGGATAATTTTGGCTCGACTACCTTTTCGAGAATAAGCAAAACG